AACACAATGATTACATACAAATTTGCATTTCCACCGTATACATTCATGTTCATACTTGTTCTGCAGAATACATTTGCTGTTTGAGGATGTCTTACATTTCATTGTAAACAGTTTGTGCTGATGTCATTAAACGCAGTAGAGAATAGAGGGCAAGCAAACAATGGTTGACACTTATTAGAACAGTGAAATTGTAAATGTGATAACAATGAGACCGTTTTCACTGTAACTAAGGTATATGTGGCATACTGATACAGTTAACGCCTAACATCATGTGTTTGTAAGGTTAATTTCATCATACCACATCATGAAACTTGTAAGGCTTTATAGTTGTTATATTCCGTTAGGGTTCATTAAACATCATATCACAGTTTGTCAGCTTTAGAAATGTGCCGTCTTTATTATATCTACAAAAATGTGTGCATATAATTATTTTGCCCACTTTCAAGCCCGACTGTATTAACAAAGATTGTTTCAATGAAAAAGACAATAGCTTAAAAATTAGGACGAAAGAAATACTGTTATGTTATTATGCACTATTTATTTATTTCATTAGTGCCCTTCTGTTCTGAGCAGCATGCACTGAACTTAGTTTCTCCTTCTGTTGTCTATCTTTGCATTGAGTAATCTTCTTCTCCACCATCCTTCCCTTCTCGATTAGCTTCCAAGCATACGTTGAGAGCCATTAATTTTCTTGTCTCTTCTTTCTACTTTGAGCATTTGTACACGTTTCATTTAACATCACCTTCAGAGAATTAGTTCCAGTGTTCTTCCAGGTGTGTTTCCCTAGTGATCTCACGAAGTGTGTCTATCTTTGCTCTGATTTCTGTACTGAAGGCAGCTCTTGTAGATTTTTCCTTCAGGTTCTCAATGCTGAACTTGAATTAAAGTGGTCTGTCTCCAGTTTTCTTGAGGTATTTCAGCCTAGCCTTGAAGGTTCCCTTATGTAGATGATGGTATGAGCCCATATCTGGTCGCCTTCTCGACTTTGTATCCAACAGGCTGCGTCTCCACCTCATTGGGCAGTATTTGGATGAAATCTATCTGGTCTGTTGTGTGTTCGTCAGGCGAAAGTCATTTTGCTTTGTGTTTATCTTTGTATCTCTACACACTGCTCCCAATCACTGATTCAATAAAAGCGCAGAGGTCTGCGAGGAGTTCTCCGTTCGGATTCACTTATCTGAGCCAGAGTCTGTCAATTCATGATGAATTCTCTTCCTGTATTACCTGCTCCCAGTTCCGTTGGAATTCATATCGGCCAACAGGATTTTGAGATGTTGTACATTACTGTTTGTTATTGTCTGTTGGAATTTTGCTTCTTCTCTTGTTCCGCGTTGTTTGTAGCAGTGTGCGTAGCATTGGATAATTGTGACCTTTTCTGCTCACTGATTTGAATCTTGATGCCATAACCCTGCATTGCGGAAATCGATTTCTACAGCATAAGGGATTCGTCTGCCACTGTTGACATCATAATAGCCACCCACTGTGCTCGTGATTGTCGTCTGTGTGACCAGACCGGAGTAGATTACTGACTCTGCAGATGACAGTCTCGAAAATCCACATCCATTCGATCTACTCTCAAAGATTTTCATCACTTCTAAGCCATACTTTTCATTTCTTTGGCTGCATGAGCAGGCTTTCCACGTAGATTTACGGACATTCCACGTTCCAATTCTTATACTTGCTTCCACTGAGAGAGAAGACACATCGGCTGGCGGACTGTCTTTCTGAAGGCTTTCTACAGTGTTCTGTGTCACTTCTCCTCTCCTATTCCAGCAAAGAATAAGATCGTTTTTTGGATTTCTAATATATTTCCTTTGCGTTGAAGTTTCTCTAGCAGTTTGATAAATTTAGTGATGTAGGTTTCCTAGCCCCACGCGCAATTCTTCATATTTATTCGGGCTTGAGACAGGCTAGAAAACTAGCAAGCTAGCAAACTAGGTGTGATTGACGAAAACCATTAAGACGGCTAAAATAAAAGTTGGAATTATATTATGTTAAACAAAATCATATGACAGTAAACTCCATGAAATTCTTAATTATTCACTGAATAATTTGAACATGCAATGACAATGAAAAACAAAACGTGTTCAAAATGGAAAGTTATGATTTAGCAAGAAGTAGGATTAACAACTTAGGTAGAAATTACGAATTTAGTATTGAAAATAAGTCAAAATATGTTGGTTTCTAATAATTACCAGTTCACTTGGCAAAGAATTTCGCTTGTAGTTTCAGAGGATTTCTGAAAAATACAGCAGAACGTTTCGAAAGCTACAGTGAAGGATTTGGTGCAACATGATGGTACGACAGAAATACACAAATGAATATCGTATGCTGGAGTTACTAAATTTCAGTTTTATTGTTCAACTGTTAGCAACACAGTACGACAGCTAGAGTGATTCTTCAATGAAGTGCTACTCTCCCCATTTTTGGTTAATCACTGCTTACCTGTTTCAACTCACCCATTATCTTATCTTATTCTTACATCGTTAGCTGAAATAACTGACATTTTATCGCCTGATTCATCCGTTTGGAGTGTATGCGAGAAGAACTACAGAAAATGAATCGATTCACTTGATTTCAAGCATATACATAAAGAAGCGTTTTAACCAACCCTCGCCTCCGCTGTCATTTCATAATTCCATGTAAAATGCTCATATCATATATAAAATTAGGCATATTTGACACTGGGATAAATCTCAGGACTCGGAAATACTCTCAAAGATGAAGAAGAGAATCACTGATTGTATCAATGTACAATACCTCCTTGTATTTCATCTGAATGGAAACTATTACTGGAAGCGAAATTCAGGACAAAATTCCCTTTGATTCTATTTTTATTCTGGCAATTTCAAATCGACTACATTTTGTCGAATTTCAAGTTCATCTAACATCATGTTTCGGATGGAAGGAGTAAATAATCTACAAGTCAATCTGATACATGTCTTGCACTGCCACTATTACGGCTGCGTAATTCCTGGTCAGGAGTTGAGCCGATGAAGGCAGTGATAACTGCATGACATCTAATTATAATATTATATATTAAAAACCTTGTTTGTGAATTGTGAAGCTAAAACTGTTAAATTTATAATCCACCTACCACATTAGATTCTTTAATCATCGCGAAGACAGTTGTTGATAAAGGTCTGCAACAGGCTGTTGGAAATATTCTTTGTGACTCGCCCGCCAAGTTTCTGATCCGTATAGAAGAACTGACTGACTTGACGTTTGTATTGAAAATCCGACCGAATTTTGTTGTTGACGGTGGCTGAGTGACGAAGATTTCCAGATTGGTTTCAGTTGGTTGATGAATGTGTTTCTCGCCTCTCCGATTCTCGCTAGATTTGACATCCTCGTCCGTTCCTCCTGTAGTTGAGACAATGCTTCCTAGATAACTGAATGAAGTAACTTCTTTCAAATCCCTCGCGTTGATGGTGATTGACGCTGGATGTTGCTGCTGTTGCTGGTTGGTTATTTTCATAACCTCCGGCTTGTCTTTGTTCACCTGGAGTCCTGTCTTCGCCAGCTGCTTCTTCGACGGGTTTGTCGACTTCCGCTTGTACGTCTTCGATTTTGTGCGACATCAAGCAAAAATCATCCGCGAAATCCAGGTCTTCTAGGTTCTTCACTTCAGTCCAGGATATCCCTGTTTTCTCGTTTCCCACTCACTGTCTGACGCATAATCCAGTCAGTACACCACAATTAGGAATATCATTGGTGATAATAAAGCACCCTTGTCTGACTCCTGTGTTTACTCCAAACGCCTCGCTGAATTTTCCGTTGTGGATCACTTGACATGTGCCGTTGTCGTACAGCTGTTGAATAAGGTTGATGAATATTTGGGGTACGCCGTAGTACTCGAGTAGTTTCCAAATTACTTCGCGGTCAACGCTGTCGAAGGCCTTCTCAAAGTATATAAAGTTGAGGTAGAGGTTTGATTGCCATTCCATGCTTTGTTTGATGATGATGCGTAGAGTTGCAATTTGGTCAGTACATGATTTGCCTTTCCTGAATCCAGCTTGTTCTGGTCGGAGTTCTGTCTCCAGTGCGTCCTTTAATCTCTCCAGGATGATGCGACTCAGGATTTTACTTGGCGTCGATAGGAGCATGATTCCTCGCCAGTTCTTGCAGAGTGAGGCGTAAGTCGCCCTTCTTTGGTAGTTTCACGAGGTAACCTTTCCTCCAGTCAGTAGGCACCTTTCCCTCCTTCCAGACCTTTTGCAATAATGGAGTCAGCATGTCTGCTGTCGTCTCTGGGTCTGCTTTCAGTGCTTCAGGGGGTATTCCATCTGGTCCGGCTGCTTTTCCAGCTTTCAGAAGCTTGATTGCATTCAAGACTTCAGCTCTCGTTGGAGGATTGGTGTCAACTTGCAGTTGTGTGCGCGCTGTTGTTGGTATTTCTGGACGGGTTGCAGGTGATGGTCGGTTCAAGAGTCCTTTGAAGTGATCCGCCCATTGTTTAATCTGTTTTTCTTCCTTGGTAATGGGCTTCCCTTGGCTGTCTTTTATAGGTTTCGCTTGTGTTGGTCTCTTCCCGGATAGAGATTTGGTTATCTGATATAGTGTCCTCAGGTCCCTTTTGCCTGCTGCCTTTTCAGCTTCAGTAGCTAGATTGTCGTAGAATCGTCTTTTGTCCTTCCTAGCACTTTTCTTCACTTCTTTGTCCAATGCTTTGTAAGTTGAGCTCATCGTCTCCTTCTCCTGTCCGTCCTTGCATTGAATCATTTTCTCTTTCACCATTCTCCTCTCTTCTATTAATTTCCAAGTGTCCGTTGAGAGCCATTCCTTGTCTTGTCTCTTCTTTCTTCCTAGAACCGTTGAACACGTTTCGTTGAGAATCGCCTTCAGAGACTTCCAATGTTCTTCCACGCATGATTCTTCAGTGCTGTCGCGTAGTGTTTCCTGCTTTGCTCTGACAGTTGCAGTGAAAGTGTCTTTTGTGGTTGTGTCCTTCAGTAATTGAGTGTTGAACTTGCATTGTGGCCTATCCCCAGCTATCCTCGAGGCTTTTAGTTTCACCTTGAAAGTCCCTTCTACTAGATAGTGGTCTGAACCCACATCTGCTCCTCTCCTTGACCTTGTGTCCAGTAGGCTCCGTCTCCACTTTCTTGAAATTGAGATGAAGTCTATTTGATTCTTGGTGTTTCCATCTGGTGAAATCCATGTCGTCTTGTGTATATCCTTGTGTTTGAACACACTACCACCAATCACCAAATCATTGAAGGCGCAGAAGTCTGAGAAGAGTTCACCATTGTCGTTCATTTCACCGAGGGCCTCACGACCCATGGTGAGTTCTCTTCCTGTGTTGTCTCCTCCCAGCTTCGCATTCATGTCGCCCATCAGGATTTTGATATCGCCATTTGGGACGTTGTCCATTATTGCTTGTAGTTGTCTGTAGAACGCCTCCTTCTTCTCTTGTTCTGAGACGTTTGTAGGCGCATAGTATTGAATGACTGTAACCTTCCTTCCCTCCTTTTGAGTTGAACCTGGCTGTCATTATCCTGGAGGAGATTGGTTTTCACCTTATGAGAGCTTTGGCTGCTGTTGGTGACATCATGATGGCCACTCCCTCGATGTGCTCGTGATTGTCCTCTGGGTGACCGGAATAGATTATTGTGTCTTCAGTTGTTAGTTGGCACCTTCCACATCCGTTCCATATACTCTCGCATATTACCAACACTTCTAGTCGATATCTCCTCATTCCTGGGGCTACCTGGTCAGCCTTTCCCATTTCGTACATTTTACGAACATTCCACGTCCCCATCCTTATATTTGCTTTCATCGAAAGAAGGCACATCGACTGACTGGCTTCCCGAAGACATTCACAGTCTGCGTCATTTCACTTCCCTGATTCCAGCGAAAAATAAGGTTACTGTTTAAATTTTTAGAATTTAAAATATATTGGTGCGTTGAAGTTTCTGTAGCGATTTGGTTGAGTTTTGGGGGTGGAGTGGCTAGCACCACGCTTCAAGCCTCTTTCCTCATCAGAACTTGAGACCAGCTAGAAAACCAGCATTCTAGTAGTCTTGGCGAGTCTTAGATTAATACGCTGCTCTTGTGAAATAAAATATAGGTTTTCAGATTTGATTTCATTTCTTACTATTCATCGTTGAAAAAATGCGGCAACATGCACAAATTATTGATTCGAGATATCATGTCAAAGTCTATGAATATTTATTCATATAAATCTAAGTATCCGTCTCATACATACGCCTTTTCTTATCTAGGAGGAAAAAAAATTATTATTAGCTTTGGCTTTGAAATAGCACAAGAATATTTGTAAAGAAAACACACATATATCAGATATTAATTCCCATGCGTACAGCTAGAGGAACTACATATAAATAATTTCTTCGCGTCGCGCAGTTCATGACGAATAACTAAAATGATAAACGGCAAATTGGCTTCCCATTATTAAAATAGAGAAAAAAAATTGAAGAAAAACAGGTCAAACATTGTCTATATGTGTCACTTGTCACATTTATAAAAATTCCCATCAAATGACACGTGGACATTTCATAGAGTGCATGGAAAGTCCGACTTCCAGAGAATCACTTTCCACATTAGATAGGCCTTTCGTTTCCGAAAGGGTGTCAGGTTCGCACTTCACTCACAGAAAATATGGCAGTTCCTCGGAGAGGAGTCACACACACCCGACAACCCAATCATCACGACACACACTCCAAACAACATCAATTGAAGCTAAGAGCACCAACCAGACATTTCACCTTGATGATGGCTCGTTCGTGTGGAGTCAACTGGACTCTCACTACTGTGATTTTCACTATCATCGACACTCGTTGAAATCAATCGCCAAGATGTTTGCTTGCAATGAATGGATTATGTGTGTGTGAAATGCATAGCGTGGTATGGTGACAAGACGTATTCTCACTTCGCTTCCATCCCATTTATGCTATGATACTGGCGACAAGTGGATTCATTTATATGTTCACAGTGTTTCTGAGAAATTTCTCATGAATTTCATTAAAATGCAACTCACCCTGAGCTTTAAAGTGATACGTGAAAAGGAATGTGGATTTGTTGTATTAAACATAGTGTATGAAGTTAGTTAATAGGGTGGTATCAAAATTGTGGATCGATGTGCATCACAAAGAAAGTATTTGAAATCTACTGTATTTTATGTAGAATTTCAGATTGATTTGAAGACAGTATAGTCATCATAATTTGAGAACTAGCATTGGGAGGGATTTCGTGGGCTCATAAATGCAAGTTCGTATAGAAGGAGATCCGCCAGTGATAATTCCAATTAATTATCGGTTCAACAAAGTAATTCTGTCGATTTGCAAATGGATTATTTCTAAACGTAAATAATATGTTGATTTCGTGGAACAAATTATAGCTATCCAGATGATATCACCACTCTCTGTCTCAGAATTTTAAGCTTCTTACATGTTGAAATGAGCTTATGTCCACAAAATGAATGAAGATTATTTTAATTTACATATACGGTCATCTCTGATTCAGCAGTTCAGCATACCAAGTTTATTTGCTATAAACAAAAAATTCATAAAAGAAGTTACTAAACAAGATTCATAAGCAGTGACAGAATATCTCAAGACATTACAACGTACGCTATGATTTAGTATCTCATTGATTCAACAATAATTCTATCAGTCAGGTCATTATTTCACACATCTAACTACTATTCTCACCAAAATACGCGGGTAAAAAATCTCCTCTGATTCATTACATAATTTAATCTTTCAAGAGTGAGGAGTCGAATGAAGTCTATATATGTCACATGGTATTATTATTATTATTGTATCCTTTAGTTCCTAGAGGAACATAGGGCTTCAGCTGCGCACCTCCACTGACTTCGGTTTTCTGACAACTTTTTCACCCTGCTCCAGGTCTGTCCACATGCTTTCATCTCCTCCTCGCATGACCTCCTCCAAGTCACCCTTGGACGACCAACTCGCCGCCTCCCTTTCGGGTTCCACTCGAGGGCTTATCTAGTGATGTCACTTGATGGTTTCCTCAGCGTATGGCCAATCCATCTCCATTTCTTTCTGCCTATTTGTTTCACAATCGGTTCCTGATTGGTTCGCTCCCAGAGATCCCTGTTGCTGATCTTTTCTGGCCATCTGATCTTGAGTATGGAGCGGAGACAGTTGTTAATGAAGGTTTGAAGTTTGTTTGAGATGCTCTTTATGATTCGCCAAGTCTCTGATCCGTATAGTAGCACTGACTTCACATTGGAGTTGAAAATCCGGATCTTATTTTTGATGCTGATTGCTGATTGGTAGAGTTATACAAATTGCAATCAAGCGATACAGGAAAATTCCTTAGGATACGAGTAAAGGGGGAATTCCTGATAGTCACTTCACACAAGTGATAGGCTTTTCGTTCCCGAGAGAGTGTCAGCTCCATACTTCACTCAAAGACGATGTGACAGTCCCATGTAGAGAAATCACACAACTTTGACACAACTCACACTCCAAACAACATCAATTGAAGCTAATAGCATCAACGAGACATCTCATCTTGATGATGGCTCGTTCGTGTGGAGTCAACTGAACTCTCACTACTGTGATTTTCACTATCATCGACACTCGTTGAAATCAATCGCCAAGATGTTTGCTTGCAATGAATGGATTATGTGTGTGTGAAATGCGTAGCCTGGCATGGCGACACGGCGTATTCTCACTTTGCTTCCATTTCGTTTATGCTCTGATACTGCGACAATTAGATTCATTCACCTATTCATGTTTGTGTTTCCCTGTTTATCTTGGTTTTTATGCAAACGCATTGTCGTGCTTTTTTTCTGATACGTTAGTTTTTATTCTTATCTGAAATAAATGTTGTTTTTTACTTTTATATTCGTGTGTGTTAGGGTTTATCAACGGACCTATAATTAAATATAATTTTAGTGTAGATATTCTTTCCTTTACTTTTGACGTTCTAAATGACTTTTCATTTTGATTTCCATGATATAATTGCGGGAGTTACATGAATTTTACAGTCAAGCACTTATGAAATACTTTTAAATTTTTCTGTCTAAACTACAGTGAAATGGAGGGTTATGATTTTGCAATAACTGCGCAAAAATACCCGTAGAAAGATGATCACTCATATGATATACGCACTCGTAAAATATGAGATGAAATATCAGCAACATGAGGTACAATTAAGAATAATACACTTAGAGATGTAAAGTACAATTGCAAACCGAACATTGAAAATGAAGAAAATTGTATTCAGATTAACTGAATAATACTAAGCAGAATAGATTTATCGATAAACAACTATATCTAAGGTCGAAATCCAGTTTCATGTGAAGACAGTATAATAATTATTTGAGGACATGCATTAAGAGAGTTTTCATGGGCTCATAAATTCAAGCTCATGTAGATGGAGATGATTCAGTGACAGTTCAAAGTGAATATCTGGCGGAAAAAAAATTTTCTGTCATTCCGAAAATGTATCTCGTCTCGGTTGCATCCTACTTAGTAAATAATTCCAGTCAAACAAGACATATGTTATTCAAAAAGCACCAAGATTCCATTTCAACGTGTTTGTTGGATTCTTTCATAAAAATTGCATTACTAATTTCAAAACAAATAGAACATCTATTAAAATATACCTAACAAAAACTCCCATGCAGCAGTGAGACTCACCATATGTGCCGCCTGAAGACATTTAAAGTCAAAGAACAGATCATCACAGAGGATTTGCTGAAAACGACAAGAAAATGCAAAATAAAGCATGGAAGATATGATTCAGTTGGTCTAAGGTACGACAATATCACTACAAATCAATTCAATATGAAAAACATGGGACACCAATTAAAAACAACATAACAATGGCGAGTTCTACTTTGATTCATTAGCTGATTGAATCAGTGAAGAGTGAGGAGTCAAACGGTCTCTGTATATGTCACTTGGTAGAGTTATACAAAGTGCCATCAAATGACACGGGAACATTTCTTAGAATCCATGGAAAGTCCAAGTTCCTGATGGTCACTTCTCATATGAGATGGACCTTTCGTTTCCGAGAGAGCGTCAGATCCACGCTCCGCTCACAGAAGATGAGACAATTCCATGGAGAGCAGTCACACACCCCCGACAACCCAATCATCACAACACACATTCCAAACAACATCAATTGAAGCTGAGAGCACCAACGAGACATTTCACCTTGACGATTGCTCGTTCGTTCGGGAACAACTGAACTCTCACAACTGTCATCTCCACTATCTTCGACACTTGTTTGAATCAATCATCACGATGCTTGATTGCAATGAATGGATTACTCGTGTGTGAAATGCAAAGTGTGGCATGGCGACGAGATGCATTCTGACTTTGCTTCCACATCATTTATGCTGTGATACTGGAGACATGTAAATTCATTCATTTGTTCCACTGATTTCCGAAAAATTCTCATTCTTTTGGTTAATCTTTCACTTACTTTGATCTTTAACGTGACACATGAAGAGGAATGTGTATTTTGTTCTACTGAACGTAGTGTGTGAAGTTAG